CCTCTCTCCCCCGCCGTCTCCCGCCGGTGGATTCCGCGTGGTCTGGCTGCGAGCTTCCCTGAAGCCCCGTGCTGACCGAACCTGACAGGGCTAACTAACCGAAATACGCCTTAACAGTATATATTTTTTAGAATTAATGGTCTATTTTCTGTCAGATGTCTATGGTTTTTACCTGTATCTTTTGTGGTAATGGTTTTGTTATTGTACATCACCCAGAGTCATTATGGAATTGGATGGCCTTGTAAATTGAATAAATGAAGATGGAAGAAAACTGTTTTGGAGAGTTTTTAAATTTGCATTTAATTCTACGCTACTAAATTTTGAAACCCAGAAGCTCATCAGTATATACAGTATATATAAACACACATACTAAAGCAGCAGTGTAAAACATATGACCTACTGACACCCTTTTTGTGGCCCTCTGAAACTTTCCAGAGTGAGTGAGATCAAATATTGACCTTTTTTGCATTTGGGAGGTTAGGGTGCTTAAAAAAGGGTGGACTTGAGCCTTGCAGGAAGTTTTTGTTTTTATTTTATTTTCATTTTTGGTGAGAGAGATTCTCCAAAGGTTCTGCACTATGTACAATACTACACGTTACTACCTATCCTGTGCACAATTTTTTGGAAGTAAACTGAGTGTATTTCACAAAACTATAATTGACCAAATTAGAGTTTGCTAGCTGAAACATAATTTAGCTTTGAATACAAGTAGTGTTATTAAAAGTTGCAGCATGAACTAAACAAAGAAAAGGAGTATCCAGCCTTATTTTAATTATGTTTTTTATTCTCTGATTTCCTGTGTGTTAATATAGAACTACTAAGAGAAATGGAAAGCTTTGTTATCACCTTGTTTACCACAGGTAGTGTTTGCTTAACAAGCACAATTGGGACCGGAATTTAGATCGCTAAGTGATGTTGTCATTAAGCAAATCATCACATGACTGGACCTGATTTTGCAACTTTTTTTGCAGCAGTCATTAAGTGAATCATGGGTCGTTAAGTGAATCACATGGTCATTAAGTGAATCATGCAGTTCCCCTTGATTTTGCTTGCCAGAAACTGGCGCAAATGGCAACCACATGACCCTGGGACACTGCAACTGTTGTAAATGTGAGCTGATTGCCAAGCACTTCGATCACAATCACATGACCGCAGGGGCACTGCAATGGTTGTAACTTTAGGCACCAGTTGTAAGCCACTTTTTTAACACTGTTGTAACTTCAAATGGTTGCTAAATGAATGGTCATTAAGCGAGGACTACCTATATTTAACTTGGCACTCTTGCAAATGATTCACTGCTTCTAGTTTTAAAAGGTACCCATTTTCTCTGTCCAGCACAGTATTTCATTGTACATGATTAAACCTATCTGACTGATTAGGCAAATAAAGTTTATTTCCATAGGTTTCCTGTTTTTTTAACACTTAACAGAGCAGATCTCCAAGTATATCCCATACAGATGTGAGGATCCATAGAGGGAGCCTCCTTAAGATCCCTCAGCTGGGAAAAGCATGTGATGTAAGAAAACAGGAGAGGCCTTTTCTGTTGTGGCACCCTTCCTTTTGACTGCCTTTCCCTAGATGCCAGGCACATGCTAACATTACCTGCCTTTTGGCATTGAGTGAAGATGAGGGAAGATCAGAGCCTGGCTGTGTCTTTTGCTCCTGTTTTATCTCAGTTAGGTCACTTGTTCATTATTGAGTGGTTCTCAGGACAGAAAGGTGGTGTATCAGTCAATCAATCAATCAATCAATCAATCATTAATCAAGTATTATGTGTGTTAATTGCATTCTTTAACTAACACATTATTTAATTTTGCTTGTTTTATTATTCCACTGTGTCTTGTTTTTGTGGACTGACATCTACTACAGAATCCTATAGGTAATGGAGAGACTATAAATATTTTAGTATATAGGTAGGCAGATAGATTTGAATAGAATAGCTAAACAGAGGGTGAAGAAAACACATTGACAAAGCATGTATAAGATCTGCTAATTGCACAAACTTTAGAAGTATCTGTTGAACTCACAGGCTAAATGAATAATGCAACCTTTGTCCTTCAGAGGAATGGGTGTGGAATGTCATAAAAACTAGCTACCAGGTAATTCTGCTCTTACTTTATACAGAGCATTGGAAAATGAAAGTCTGTAATTCAAGTTAGGGACAAAGGTCTAGCAGAAATGGGAATGAAGTACAGAATCTAAAGAATATATCTTGGAGGTCTGCTCGTCAGGTAAGGAAACTATGTTTTTTAAAATCAGAAATATAGCTCATTCTTTTAATGACTGAAATATGTTTAAGTTTAATGATGAATTGGTAATTTAAATTGAGATTTTCCCCAACCTCTGTTTACCTTATAGAATGACAATGTCTTTGTGAAGGTACAACAATAAATGCATAGTTTTAATATATGCTTTGACATGAGATTTTTAAGGAAAAAAATATAAATGTAGTCGGAATAGGGATATCACTATGAGATATTTCATTAAGCAGATTTCCTTGTTAGTAAAGTAAAAGAAGTTATTTACTACTGCAGCTTTCATTTTAAACGGGCTCGAAATGGCTGCTTCTTAACTTCTTGTCATGCAGAGTTCATTCTGCCAAGGAACACAGGTTACCCATCCTTGGTGGGTGGGTCAATTTACCATTTAAAACACATAATATTTCTTCGTCTATTTGATTGATTACCCCTTCCCCCAACCCGTGAATAAGTAACACCACCTTTAGAAGTATCCTTTGAACTCACAGGCTAAATTAATAGTGCAACCTATTTGCTTCAGAGAAAACAGTGGGTGTTTTGGGGTCTCTAGGCATTTTTTATTTTGCTAGTATTGGGAATACTGTACACTAAAATATAGAGAAGCATAAAATCAGGTGCCGGTGGTGGGAAGCAAACTAACCTACTGTATATTGAGTACGGCAGGATATACAATGCAATTAAGAACTTGACTATAGCAGGAACTGGTGGACGGTGTTGAGAAGATACATACAGACATTGTTAGCATCAAAGATGTTTCTGGAATCTATTCTAGAAACATCTTTGATGCTAACAATGTCTGTATGTATCTTCTCAACACCATCCACCAGTTCCTGATATAGTTTATTCCACTGTATGGCACACTGCAAAATGAACTAGAAAGAAATAATTGAGAATGTATCTATTTTCACATTATATATCATATGTTCACATATGTCGCCAAGAGACTTTGATTGTAACTGGATAGAAATATGATAAATAAGTAAATAAACAAATAAAATATCCATGTATCAGGTGAAAGAATAATATTGGCAAAAAATGAAAAATCCAAAGTTGATAATCTGTAGTTAGATCCTGGAGAATATAGTTAATAAAACTAAATTAATACATTTATTATTCTATTATTACTTATGAATTAATTCAACCATATAGTACAAGTTGCTTTCAAATTTACATTGCAAAAATATAAAATTCCATGATTAATGTATATGTGTGTGTTTAAATAATGGATTATATCAGCAAAACAACTAAAGCATCTTGAATCATAGTGTTTTCCTTTCCAGAGTTGCACATGAAGTCTTCTCCTATCTCCAGCTCCATGTGTTCCTTCTGTTCTGCTGTTTGGATCTTGATACTTCTGCAGATCTCACATGTAGCAGGTAAACTATTGTTTTACAGAAAGTCTATGGCAATGGTTCATTTGGTTTCAGAGTAATAGCAAATGAATGCAGAGCAAGATCCATCTTTTGGCTCTTATTGTACTGCTTTGCAGAGAAAATATGGCAGCCATAACAAGTAGTTGGTAGCATGAACACCATTATATATCAAAATTCATTCTAGAGTCTAGAATGGTGTTTCACTCATAACCCATTACAGAAATTCACATCCTACAAATGGGACAATGAAATTAGGAACAAATGTGGGATGTACTACAAATCTACAATTTTGCATTCTAATGAGCCTCTTGATTTGTTCTTTTTTTAAAAGGTCACTTTTCAATCAAACCACCAAAAAATCCTATAATTGGATACCTTGAAATGGAAGTAATTCTCCCATGTCAAATAGAAACCCTGAAGCCACTCACAGACACCAATATCAATGTTCAGTGGATCTTGGATAAATCATCCCAAAAAATTGAAGTGAAAAACTATCAAGGTGCAACCGAGGATAAAAGATATCAAGGTCGAACACAGCTGTTTGATTCTGAGTTTAATAAAGGGAACATGTCCCTGCTTTTGAGGAACATTCATCTCTCTGACCAAGGACTATATACCTGTATCATATCCTCTCAAAAGTGGTATGATGAAGCAGTGGTTGAGTTGGTTTTAGCAGGTAAGGGGATATAGTCTGTTTTTAAAATAACCTAATATTATGAGACTGATAACTTGGGATTTTGTAAGGGTCACACTGTAGACATAGCAATGGAGAGAAGACAAGGGGAGAAATTTGCTTTGCATTGGCATGTCATTGGTCTCGAATCTCAGAAACTCAATAGTGTCCTGTTCTGCATCAAACTGCACAGGCAGCTCAGAATATTTTTTATGTCTTCTGCATTTTTAGCAATTTGATGGGAAAATGCCTTTTCTTCCAAGTAAGTACATTTTATTGAAAGGCTCATAAATGAGTTGCATGGCTCATCTTACCTATGAGATGATCAAGGTATCTTGCACTGTAAGATAATAATTTCTACTCTCCATGGCTTCCAGACTAAAATTAAAAGCAAAGAAAGGAAGAATGCAATTTTTGCATATTGCAAATCAGAGAGTATGAATATCATCTCATCCACAACAAACAAGTGATCTTAAAATAAGCAGCTAAAGAACTTCTAATGCATCTTGAAATTGAAGCAGAAAAAACAGGGGAAGAATATGCTCAGGAAATTGAAGGATGGAGAAATGTTTGTCTTCTCTAAGAGCTTGTCCTGTGTTTGCTTGGTTTCATCACCTTCAAAGCTATTCACTTTTAAAACTATGTTGTTTTTGTGGAAGGTCTTTGTGCACGAGCAATTCAAATTGAAGTTCCTTATTTTTTAAGTGAAAAAGTATGTAGGATGTTCTCTCTCTTTAAAAAAACTATATATCTTTGGGAATCCAGAGTCCCATTCATGTATTCAGAAATACAATGTAACTGTCCTGTACTTATTAGAAGAGGATGATTAAATAGTCTAGTATAGGAAACAAACTGACCCCACTAGATCTGATAGGGAGGGCACGCCCTGGATCCCTTTTATTAAACAATATCTTCTTCTTGGACCCAGGAATCATGCCTCCTCTGTTGCAGTATCTACCCTGTGGAACAACATCTCCCTCCCCAAAAGATTCAGATAGCTTCCCACCTTGTTAGCCTTTTGTAAGGCACTTAAAACTGGCTGTTCCCCTAGGCATTTCAGCTGGAAGTTAAATGAGCACTGGTGGTTGGTTGATCAATTGGTTTTATTGCTGCTCTTTGTAGTAAATTGGAAATGGTTTTTCTTGACCCTAGATTTTGGTTATGTGGATTATTGGTTATTTAATTGTTTGTTGCTTGGCTTTAACCCTTGTATGCCTTCCAGAGTAATTTATTCAAACAACATATTGATTGTTTAAATACATAAATAAAAATAATAGCAGTACTTACCTGATATTGGCGTATAGTATTGTAATGGTCTCTTGGACCCCCTATTGCCATCAATAAATTGGAAGTTGGAGTGGCTACAAAATATCATACAGATATTTGCAGAATGAAAGCAGGACACTTGTGCAACATTGCTGACCATTTTTTTTCTTTGAATTTTCCAAAAGCAGCCCCTCACCCCCCAGCTCCTTCCTCAAATCACATACATATGGCCAATAAAACTACAGAAAAATTGTTTGGCTTCCTGAACTACTTAAAATACAGAAGAGTTGATTAGGAATTTCCATAAAGATCTATAAATACCCAAACAGGAGTTGCAAAGGTCTCTCAAGATATGTGCCAACTTCAGTTAATAGCCATCAGTGTTTTCTAAAGCTTAGCAGTAAGTGCAAAACCCAGTATGAAGGACCTAATAATTCTCGGAAGTTCTGAAATTCTGTGAAAAAAAAATTGCAGCAATAAGTGGTACTCAGAGGAGTACTTTTAAAAGTATGTACTTAATTAAAAAACCTTTAAAAGTGTGGTATAAAATCAGGCTTTGTAATTGTCCCAGTAAAAAATAGGCTGTCACTTTCTTTAAAAAAATAATTTTTATTAAAAGATTTTACATTTATAATAAGAAATGCATTCAAAGAAAAATATAGTAAATGTGAAAAAGAAAAAAAGAAAAGAAAGGAAGAGACAAAGAAAAAAGGAGATAAGAAAAAGAAAATGAAAGTATAGAAAACATGTTTTCTATACTTTTATTTTCTTTTTATCTTATTATTTATCTTATTAAAAATTATTTTTCTTAAAAAAGTGACAGCCTATTTTTTACTGAGACTATATACACACACATACACATACAGTGGTACCTCTAGTTACGAACGCCCCTTCTTACGAATTTTTTGAGATACGACCAGCTCCGGCCCCAAAACTTTACCTCGTGTTGTGAACCACCTCGAATTACGAACCGGATCCGCGGCCATTTTCCTCCCATGCCACGTGGTCCGCGGCCATTTTCTGCCCGTGCCACGTGGTCCGCGGCCATTTTTCCGCCCATGCCACGTGGTCCGCGGCCATTTTCTGACCGTTCCACGTGGTCCGCGGCCATTTTTCCGCCCATTCCACGTGGTCCGCGGTCATTTCCCACCCGTTCCACATGGTCCGCGGCCATTTTTATGACCGTTCCACGTGGTCCGCGGCCATTTTTCCGCCCATTCCACGTGGTCCGCGGCCATTTCCCACCCGTTCCACATGGTCCGTGGCCATTTTTACGACCGTTCCACGTGGTCCGCGGCCGTTTTTCCGCCCTGCCACGTGGTCCGCGGCCGTTTTTCCGCCCCTGACGTGTGGTCCGTGAATGCCGGAACAGATTAACGGTACTTACATTGAACCTTATGGGAAAATTTGCCTCATGTTGCGACCAATTCGAGTTGCAACTAGAGTCACGGAATGGATTAAATTCGTAACTCGAGGTTCCACTCTGTGTGTTTGTGTGTGTGTGTGTGTGTGTGTGTGTGTATATATATGGCTTCTGATCTTCCTTTCAGCAGTTATACATACAATTCTAATCAAACCTCTCTCTCTAAGATTACATTATATTTCCCTTCTTTCTATAACCTAATCTTTCTAATCATCAAAACTATAAGTCACAAAATCATTTTCTTTTTGATGCAAAAAGTCCATAAGTGGTTTCCAGGTATTGATGGATGTCAATAATGACCTTTCTGTCTTATTTTGCTCTATACCATAAGTCTTTTTATTCATTTTAAATCTTTCTGATAACTCTAAATGGGAAAAACAGTGGCAACTATATCCTTCTGCCATTAGTTGCTTTCTTGGTTTAATTTTATATTCTCTTGGTGATTCTCCAATAATTCATGGTATGTTAACTATTTATCTTTGCCTGTTGTTTCTTGCCATACAAATTTAAATATATCTTTTTGCCATTGGTTGAATGGTATATCAATTGTCAAAACAGGTATTATCTGAAACAAAAAATCATTCTAGGCAAAGCATTCATTTTTATCACAGAGATTATCCCCAACAGTGACAATTTTAATTTCTCCCATCTTAACATGTCCTTCTTAAATTCATTCAATGTCTTAACATAATTATTTTGAAATAACATAAAATTCATATTTGTCATAATAATGCCCAAGTATTTTCCTTTTTTCCTCAACCTTAAAACCAGTTTTCTCCATCAGTTCTATTTGATCTTCTATTTTCATATTTCATATAATCCTCTTCTGATTATTAATCTTAAAACCTGCTAGCATACCAAAGTCCTTTAATTTTCTATTAATGTTTCTACTCCCTCTAATGGATTTTCTAAAACTACTACCAGATCATCAGCAAATGTCCTTAACTTATAAGTTTCTTTTTTAATCTTTACTCCCAGATTCTCTCGTCTTATTCAGTACCTCAAGAACTAAAATGAACAAGAGTGGAGACAGAAGGCATCCTTGTCTTGTCCCTCTTTGAATCTGACAAGGTTTTGTTAATTCTCCATTAACAATTATTTGT